CTTGAGAAGCACACTGGGTGTCACTTATGCATGTGTATCCAGAATCTTAAGAATGGAGAAGGGATTGTGGCCTGGCTATCCCCCATGGGGATGCTTTCTTGCTTTCCCTCTTTCTAAATGAACAAGGGAAAAACTTCTGGTGTGCCTTTTAAAAGTACATTTCCCAGCTGTGAATCTTTTTTTTTTTTTTTTTAAGTCTCTTTAATGAGGCTGGAGAAAGCTTTCCACTCTCTACCCCCTGGAAAACACCAGGATCACACTCACATATTAAACCCCAAGAAAATAAGCTCTAATCACTTACTGTTGGTACACCTCTATATTTTTTGTCTCAGGAAATCTTGATTTCTTTTTATCAAAGATCTTTTAAAATAAACCACAAAGGGCTGGTGGTATCATATACTAAAGGTCTCCCAACAGGGTCCCCACAATAGTCCCAGCTGACCCAGATCACGGGCATGTTATATACACAGCAGGCATGCTAAGGGAAGTCCTGGGATGCAAACCCAAGACCTTTCCTACGTGAGTTCAATTGTACCACTGTCACCACCTGGCCTCAAATTCTACTTTTTGCTAATATGTAACTGCTATCAAAAAATACCTCTGCTGCCCAGAACAGCCCTTCTTCAAGAGGCAGACAGCTCCATGGCTCCTGTGATCTAGCCATTTGGGGAGAAAGGAAGATGTCCCACTGATAACTGGGCCTCCAGCATCCAAAACTCGCAGGTTTCATTATGAGCCCAGCACCAATCCAGGGGCTAGCTCTGTACCATGGCATGCCTGTTTGTAACCCATGGCCTGACTGGTTTTAGGGAAAGCACTAAACCTATTGCCTTGCATGAGCAAGCCCCCACAATGGGCCACTCACACTAGCCAAACTCTACTACTCCTGATGACCTGTCTGATGATAGCCCTGCTGAGGGTGGAGATGTTTCTTCTTTTCTAAATCTGGTCTAAATCTCATCCATACTTGTCCCCCCAGCACTTCCTGTGCAGGGGCCCACTAAGAGGTAATGCCAACCTCAGCTTTAATGAGTGGTACCTGCTGAGGGCACAAGTGAGTCCTTTGCAGCCAGGGTGATCCACGGGCAGCTAAGCTGGTCGGGCTAGCCAGGTATGGGTCTGTGGGGATTTTATAACCTCACCCTTTTGTGCATTTTATAACCTCACCTGGAATGTCCAAGGGTTGGAGCCCTGGAGTTTTTGTCACAACAGCTCGTGTGAGAACTTCATCTGATTCCCTAGACTCATTCCAACTGGCTCTGACTTCACTTTTTACTCTTGGGTAATGCTAATACTGCTGGTCTAAGGACAAAGAACACATTTAAAAGGAGAAAAAAAAAAAAAAAAAGATTAAGCACCAATCCTGACATCCTTATCGCCCTTTAAAGCTGACAATTTTTCTGAAGAAGGAAATTAACAATACAGCTCTCTAGGCCAGGCAGGTCCAGCCTCACCATGGTTAGGAATTGAACACACACTGACAGGTGTTAACACTGCTCTGGTGTTGAATGCTGTTGCTGTTTAGCTCTATACAGGAAAAACAGCCAGACACATGGTACTTCCTGTATTGTTCAGCTCATAAATGCTAATGATTTGTAGATTCCAAAATTAGACTGTTTAAAAGTAGGCTTAGCCTAACTAGTAATGCCATAGCCAACTGGTTTAAAGCAGCTTGATTTTTCCTTTTCACAAATGTGCTTTAAGTCCACATGTGAGTAAAGCTTATTCATCTAATCCAGGTCGTAAGCCTAGAGAGCATTAAAACTCCATGTAAACACTAAGAAT